CGCTGCCATTTTGTCATGTGGTCCCCAACATCCAAGATGGAAACCAGGGCTTGACTGGAATTTTGAGAATGTCAGACTGTGCCCTCCCTCAATTTCTCCTCACCACCACACGCCTTGCTCTAAATTAAATCCAAACATTCCGGATATAGAAGAGACTTTGGAAGGTTTTGCTAAAATAATAATAATAATAATGTAAAGAATAAAATCTAGCTGAAGGATTTAAAATTCCCATTTCTGAGCTTTTAAAACATTGGAATAATTATCAAGAGCGTAATTTAAAGCACAGTATACTATGCTCCTCACATTTGCTGGATTTGACTTGTTTGGATAGCAGTTTTTTTACACATAAAATAAAGCAGCGCATTTCATTATAACTGTCTTTGGCTGTTGCCTTCAGTACAAATGCAGACTTTCGTTTTTTTATGTAGTAAAAATAAAATAGTTTTAATATTTTAATCAGCTTTTGAATCAATATATTTTCAAAAGGTATCAAAATGGTTGAAAGGATTGTCAGATTTGCAATAAGATTATAATAAAAAAACTTGGAGAAAATTTCATGCATTTTATTATTTAAATTTATGTTGTATTGCATTTAAATAATATTAAATTGACTTAAAGTAATCCTAATATATACAATCCACATACTTCTATATAAAGTAACATAAATATTCCTATTGACTAAAACAATAAAAACAGTAAACCTGATAATGTCAATCATTTAAACAAAGAAATAATTTAATATTAATAATAACAGGTTAACTGCACTTTGTTTCTTACCACTCTCTTAGCATCCTTCCACATGAAAGGTTCTGTGTGTTGCTAAATCATGCATGTCAAACTAAATAAGGAAAGGAAATACAAAAATAATGCAAAATAATTCCTTGCAGTGGAGAAATGGATTGGTAGCAACATGAGTGAAGCTCACCATAAAAACATTAAAATGTCACAGACAGTGCAGAATCAATTAGTATGTAAGGGGTAAACAGACAAGCCATGATAAGAAGGGATACAAAGCTAGAATTGTTAGATATATGAACTGTATATAAATCAGTATGATACAAATAACAAATCGTCTTGTTTGAACTTGCTTGCTTTTATTTCTTCCATAATTTAAAAAATGGTTTTTGAAATGAAGAAAATCAGAATATTTGAAGTGCAGTAACAAATGAATTCTAGTTATCTTCAGATGAAACAGATTAATATAAATTCATAGCTGAACAAAAGAAGGAACAGCCAGTGATTTAGACTCAGTAGGTTTAGCTGGTATAGAGAATCAATGTTGTTGAATTACTTTGTGATATTAACAGCAGTGTATCAAAGATGTGACAGTCTAATAGAGGTATTTGCAAGGAAGGATTAAAAAAAGTCAAGATAGCAGCTCCATGATCAAAAGAGCTGGGTTTCAAGTCACACAATTGCAGCTGCCATCTTGATTTTTTTGATCAACTCTGAGGAACTTCTTAGTAATACTTTATTTTAAAAAAGACGTTTCTGAAGAACAACACTGCACATTAGTGCAAATATTGAAGCTACTGCTAGAAAATTTGCAAACATACACCCAGCGTAGAAAACATGAAGAGAAGCCTTTGATGATTCCTGGGTGGTTAAATAGTATAGGCAGTCTTTATGACCAAAATTGAGACCAGAATTTCTCTTGCTAAGCATGCTAAATTAGTTGTACCTGATTTTATAGACTTCCTTGTCACAGCTTTTAAATAAATCATTGTGGTTGCTAAGTGAATCATGTTGTCATTAACCTAATCCAACTTCCCCCATGACTTTGCTTTTTGGAAGTTGTCAGGGAAAATCCTCAAATGGTGATCCCATGACCCTGGAATGCAATTGTTGTAAATACACGCTGATCACCAAACACCCAAATTTTGATCATGCCTTGATGATTGTAAGTGTGAGTAAGTCACTTTTTTTCAAAGTAGCTGTAACTTTGAATGGTCAGTAAATGAATGATTTAAGTATTGCAGGCAGGCAGGCAGGCAGGAGAGAAAGAAAGAAAGAAAGAAAGAAAGAAAAAGAAAGAAAGGAAAGAAAGAAAGAAAGGAAAGAAAGAGAAAGAAAGAAAGAAAAGAAAGGAAAGAAAAAAGAAAGAAAGAAAGAAAAAAAAAGAAAGAAAGAAAGAAAGAAAAAGAAAGAAAACCTCAGCTCAATAGTATGGTAGTAACTGTGAGAGGGATTTTGGAGTCCTAGTGGACAATCATTTAAATATGAGTGTGCTGCAGATGCCAAAACAAAAAGAGAGAAAAGTCTGGAGAAACATCATCTTTATATTTTTATCAGAAATCTGTTTAATTTGACATAGATCATTTGCAACCTAGTATGCTGCAGACACTTTTTTATTTTTAAAGTTGATGAGCAAAATAAATGAAATAATAATAGTGGGGCCCCAAAATAAACAAATGAAGATACTAAAGTGCTCTAGGACTGTAAAATTCAAGCAAACAAGTGTTTGCCACACAACATCCCAGACTTAACAATTGTTGATAAGAAAGACAATGTCTGGTGGACGTGGCAGTACCTGGAGACAGTAAAATAGAAGAGAAAGAGCTGGAGAATATGACAAAATATAAAGACTTGCAAATAGAAATAGAACAATTATACAACAGAAAGCAAAGGTAGCGCCAATTGTAATAGACATCTTGAGTGCAGTCCCCAAACTGGACACCCTTCAGTCAATTACAAAAGGTAGCTTTACTCAGAACAGCTTACATCCCGCAATGATATCATTAACATTATCAAACAACATTTGCCTATCCCAAGACTCTGGGAAAGATTTGATAGGTGGAAAAAAATGCCCAATCCAGCCTAACCCATAATAATATGCATTTATTAGTTCCCTCCATCACTGAAACGGTTGCAAGTGATGCCTTGTAAAAGAGCAGGCAATTTCTCTGAAGAAAGGATGTGCAAATGGATACATCAGTTATATGAATACTCCGTAAATGACAATTGTCAAATGTATCCAAAGGTACAAGGGACAGGAGAGAAATGGACTTTTTCTCAAGGAGATTGAATTCTGTTTTAAAGTACACAGTACGAACAACCAGATCTTAGCACTGCAAGCAAATAGTTACCAAAATGTTAATAGAAACATTCTGGGGACATTGAAGTTAAACATGTCCAAAGAGTATGCATTGTGTTTTCTGTATTAGAACAAATACTTCTTTTCTTCAACAAAGTGTAAAGATGATCCTGTTATATTTAACAACCTGACTATAATGCCAGCATGCTTGTCTCTGGGAAATAGACTAGCATTTGGTCTGATAGTTCTATTCTACTGAAACTTCTAAAGGGCTATAATACATTTTTTTTTAAAATTACTAGCTTCTGCAACCTGATGCCCTCCAAGTACTCAGAACTATAGTTATTATCCCTAGCTGAGAAGAGAAAAAAACTAAAGAAATTAAACTAAAATAGACAGCATTCTATTTTACAATACCTTCATCCCATAATAGGCCAGAACAGATCAAACCGAAAACCATGATTAGATCTGACTTTTAAAGAGGCTAAGTAGTGACTTATGGGTAACTCTATTTAATCTTTTCTTTCATCATTGCTGTCTTGAATCTGTCCTTCCAGAACTAAACATTACTTACATTTTGACTTTACTTGGAAAAATAGGTATAATACAGGTATCAGTCATTATGCTGTGAGCATAGTAGCTTTACTTTATATGAAAGCAAAGAAGGAAAAAAATTGGTTTGTTACAATGATACTTGATGAAAAAATATACATACCAATATTCCAATCTGATTTTTTCCCCTGGATTGCTTTAATAGATGGATTTTAGAATGTTGTCCATCTCACTTTTTTATGTACTTTATTAGACTGGGGTGGATTTTTAAAAGATGAAGACCCCTCTGTTTTAGAAGAAATAGATTACCTTCTCTAATCAAAGCACGAACCTTTCCATAAATTAGCAAACTTGGTCCATATGCCTGTCTGTTTCCATCTAGTGACTGAAGAAAGTACTGACCCAAATGAAAATTCAGTTAGAAAACCCAGCTGTTGGTATGCTGGATATTATTAAACATATTTTGTACTTCCTATCCCTGTTATTATAGAGCCCAGGGTTTCAAAACAAAACAAACACCTTTGTTCATTCTTTTCAAGCATCTAATGTTAGATGTACAGCCCATGTTCAGATGTACAGCCCATGTTCCTTGAACTGCTGTATAGTTAGTCCTTGAATTACAATCATTCAATTAGTAACTATTCGAAGTTACAACATCACTGAAAAAAGTGACTTACACTTGATTCTCGCACTCACAATTGTTGAAGCATCCTCATAGTCAGGTGATCAAAATTCACGCGCTTGGCAACCAACATTAATTAATGCAGCATCCCAGGGTCACATGATCACAATTTCTGACCTCAGATGACTTCTGACAGTCAAAGTTAATGGAGGAAGCCAGATTCCTTTAATATCCACATGATTCATTTAATAATTGCAGTGATTCATTAAACATCCATGGCAAAAAAAAGAAGAAGTAAAATCAGGCACAATTCACTTAACTATGCCTTGCTTAGCAGTTGAAATTCTGGTCCCAAGTCTGGTTGCAAATTGAGCACAACCTGTGAATGTGATCATTAGATTCCTACGCATCTTTGTTTAGATTTTTCTCCATCATTATGTAGTTTTGCATTTTGGAATATTGTGCTTTTTTATTCTTTGTACACACTTCAAATCTTTGACTTACTTACTGGTCCTATTTGCATGTCCTAGTCAAACTGCAAGTTTATAATGAAGGCCAAGTTGCTTAATCCAAGCTTCCAGAGCTGCGTGCACCCCAGAATATGACTCTCAAGAGAGTTCCAAAAACTGCCAGCAAATTGTATTATAGAAAAACAGGATATTTTCTCAGTCTTCTAGGGATTTATTCAAGGTGATCATTATACCATAACATGTACAATCTATGCATGAGATAAGTGTCTCTGTCTCCCCTTCAATGCTTCTCTTTACCACAACTATCTGTTTTTTCTACTAGGAATTTGCAGCACTTACTAAGGAGTTGAATTTATGTAGGGAACAACTGTCAGAACGTGAGGAGGAGATCTCAGAACTAAAGGCAGAACGGAACAACACTCGGGTAAGATCTACAAGGAATAGAAAACACTGTTTTTCCAGTTTTATTTTGAACTGTAGAATTTTCCAGATTCTACTATACTAATTGGTAATATTAAATGATACCTTTCCCCAAAGTCTACTGCCTTCATATAACTAATATATTTGATATTTTACCTCAAAATGGATTGTTGACATACAGTATTCCATGTATTTTATAAGATTACTTTTGTGTGCTGTGTTATTGATGCATACAGTATATTATCCTAAATATACTAACTAAAGCCTTGTACAAAGTCAATTATCCTTTCTCATCATGTTCTTTCATTATATATGACTGTGTACGTGCACTGATAAAACATTATACAAAAATAATTTTGATGCAGATATGTGTACAGGCAAAAGGAGATTTTGTAATTATTAATGTCTGTTATTTATTTTATATTAGTTGTTCATTACTTTAAATTTGTCTGTTTCTTTAATTTTTAGTAAGAAATTGTTTGGCTCCTGACTCCTATTCTCCCATTAGAGTAGAATTTAGCTCCTTCTGCTTCCAAAAGCTGTTGTTTTTTTTCTCAGTGGAGCTTGCCTCAGCATCTGAAAGCAAAACTGTCTTTCTGTCCTTGCTGTTTGAAAATGCTATCATCCTGACTGATTTATCTGTTTATGGCAATGGCTGTTTGAAAAGAGGAAAAAGGAGATTATTTCTGCAAAACAAATGAAAGTTTTTGCAGAGTCCTGCTACTCTAATGATTTTGGCATTTGCTGTCTTTCCAGTTACTGTCCTATCCCAGGACAAATATACACGAAGGAGTAGTTTGTTCTTTACTAAATGAGACTTGCAAACATATGTGTTTGCACTATAGAGACAAGTTTTCCCCAAAGTTTAGCAAGAGTTTCAAATCAAAAGCTTTCAAGAGATCCAAATGAATGCGGCACACAGGAGAGTAATCAAAGGGAGTCTGAGAGACAGAGCTTGTAACAGATTTGTCAGCTGGCCAGGTTCAATGTCAGGATTGGGAGGTTCATGAGTCAAGGTGCATAGAGTAGGAGTTAATGGGTGGTAGTTATCAATGGAAAGCTTGTGCTTGTTGGCCTGTTTTAGTAGAAGCAATCCAAGTGGGGATGAGACTCTTTCTGTGTGAGCAGTCTTTCAGCACATTTTGTTCTTCTCTCTTTGCAGCCTGCCAAGGTCTTTTTTTGGGTGAGGGCAGCAATTCTGTATCCTCATCTTCAGAGTGCGATGGCAGTTTTGTCTGCTGAGGTTGGCCCACATCCTTTGCCTTCTCAAACAGCAATCTGACTGGGGACACTGGAGCTGGCTGCTTGTCGTCAGTTCCCTCTTCTGACTCTGAGTCTGAATCCACTGTGACATTTACAGAGTCAGAATCGTATCTTCCTCAATCTTTCATCTTCATCTGTCTGCTTCTCCTTAGCTGCTGCTAGAACATCTGGAATGCCTAGTATCACGACACGAGCGTTCCCTTCGTATGACAGTAGTGAAGCGTCAGGCTCAGTCCCCAGCTGGAGTCTCCAGTGAGGTGGAGGTGCTGAAGGCTCTCAAGTCACTCTTTGAACATCACAAAGCTCTGGATGAGAAGGTGAAAAAATTATTGACTGGGGGAAGTGGGAGTGCCTGGCTTTTGGAGACCTGTACTGTCCTAAATATTTCCTTCACCATCAGCCAGTGTTTTGCTGGCCAAAATTAATATAGAAGCCCTCACAATGTGAAGCAGCACATAGGGGGTGGATTATTTTGAGTGTTTTCAAGATGCAAAGCTTAATTGGCTGAAGAATCAAGCAGAGACACCTGTATTAGGACACAAGGCATAATTATTCCTTCCTTCCTTTTTTTAAAAAAATGCTTATTAAAAAGTTTTGCAGTATTAAAAGATAATATCAACTGAAATCAGAAAGAAAGGAGTAGAAAGAAATGTAAATTCAAAATGTGAAAGAAAAAGGAGAAAAAACAGGAGAGAAAAGAAAACAGATAGAAAAAAAATATGGAAAGAAGTGACTCCCAGTCTTCCTTGCAAGAAGTAGAAGCAAATTAATATTTCTCCACCTCCTATGAGGTTTTATATATATATAATTCACTTCTTCCCATACCTCACCTTATCCATTCACAAATCCAAAAATCATTATAGTTTCTAGCCAAGTGTTGACAAAAGTCCATTAAGGCTTTACAGAGTTTTATAGAAATAATTATCATTTTATCCCTGATCAAGTCAACTTTATATTCTGTTCTTTTGTTTCTAACAATCTTAATCTTTAATTCATCAAGTTGCTATTGTGGGATTAAATCTCCATTCAAACTTTTCTTCCTCTTCAAGGCTTTAGAAACCCTATATATATATATTTATCCAGCAATAAGTCCTTGCCCAGGTCATTTTTAAAATTTTACTTTATAATTTTTAATTCCACTCTGATTATCATCTGTTTTGTATTCCATTTTTTTATATATATTCCAATATTTCTATATCAGATGGAATTTGTTTCACCTCTTCATCCTATCTGTTTATAAATTCTTCCATGTAGTTCTCTTTCACATCTTTCACTTTTCTTTATTTCTGGGGGAAAAAAGTATAATTAGGATAGGTTATACTTATGATATAGCTTTTCAAACTTGTTGTTTGGAAGACCTCTTTTAATTATGAAATAATTATAAATCCAAAAGTGAGGTTAGATAAACCTAATATTCTTAAAAAGGCTGCACACCAGAGTTTGATGGTTTTCCTTTTCTCTCAGTGCTCAGACCTGCGGAATGAATGCTGTCTGTGATCTTGTGAGAAGCAGCTATGTGGAACTCAAGAGGGCGATTTCTTGTCCTTCCTTGTCCGAAGAGGTTCTATTTGACTGAGCCAGTCCATAAGTTGTCACCACAGTGGCATCTCTGGTCTTTCAGAGACATCTAATTCACCATGTTCACCTGGAAGTCCAACTATTCCTTTATACATTACTAATTGTAACTATCTCTGATATATGGCAGGTTCGAGAACGGCTGCGAGTGGCATTAGAGCGTGTTGCAGTATTAGAGGAGGAGCTAGAAATATCTAATCAAGAGGTAAGGAAGAGGTCTTGTTTCTACCTTTAGGGATATTATGGGCACCTAAAGAGTACTTCAGAAATACTTTGCCATACAAATGTGATCTGAGGAGTCTTTGAATATCAGTGATTTCACATGAGTGGTGGTTGAGACTGACAAGAGAATTGCATCTTTGGAGATTTTATTGTGTGTTGTGAATATAATAGAAGGCAAGATAGCATATAAGTGTAAGTTGGGCTGTTGAAAACAAATTATTAAATATATTTGCAGAGTTTTTCCAGAAGTCCAAACTTAATACTCAGGTCCAGGTGTCCATTCTTTGAACTTGCTTTTCTGTGTTGGCTTGTGGTCTAAGATACTTTGAAAAATATCAAAGGCTGTGAAAAATGTTTACTTATTCCAATCAACCTCTAAACAGTATCTGATAGCAGGATCATTGCTTTTATACTTACAGTTCCAGATCTGCATTATCTCAGAAATTCGGCTCAGTGGCCTATCTCATCCCTAAAGCCACAATACAAGTAGTTAGTGTGAAATACAATCTATGGACCTTAGAGGACAGGTCATTTCTTGCACTAAGCTATAATGTGGTTTGGGTTTAACTTAGAATCTTATTGAAATCCACTCAGAAGCTAACCTGATATAGTTTATTGAAATCTGGGTGGCAAAGTAGGAGTTGTAGAGCTGATTCAACTATTGTTCTTTGATTTGTCAGTGCAGCATCTATCCAGATTGTGAGGGCTAAGAGCAGGGAAGGTGCTATCTTGTTTCCCAGAAAAACTCCCCAACCTAGGAAAGATTCTAAGACCTTTTACCCAACACTTGATTAGGGAGATAGGCTAAGAATACTATTGATAAGCCACCATCCTGCTGTGCTGCAGCTTGATTTGAAGTCACAGAGGTAGTCTCAAATATGAAGTTAGAAAACTCTAGGGTGGTATCTTGAGGGATTTTAGCAATCATTCTAAGGTACTTTGCACAAGGCTAGCTCAAAAGTTTCACGATCTCAGTGACAATTACTATCTGAGTCTGTCTCAAACTATTACTAGACTTAAGACATAAAATAAGATACACTTGTGACTTAGGTTTTATTTATGGGGTATTTTAGAGCAGGCTTTTTATTCAATATTTATTGTGATTTTTATTATTGCCTGTTTACCACCCTGAGTCCTGTAAGGGAGATAGGGCGGTATATAAATTTAAATAATAAATAAATAAAATAAATCTCTTAAGAGAGAAGCAGCCTGGATATTACCATGTTGAGTTATAGATATCTTTTGTCATCGAGTTATTCTTCATCATCTGGTGAATATGATCACATTTTGTCATGCTTTTGTTGCGTGGTCTTTCCTTGAAAATATAACATTCACATTGAATCTGAGACTTGGGAATAAGGATAAGATGTATCATTGTTCAGCCTACTACATGAGCTCTTGATCATTGCTTATCTTGGCTTATTTGGAAGAACTGAAGGACAAATGAATGCATCTTTGTGTGATAGAGTGGGACTGTTGGAGGAAATCATTTGCCCATTCCAGAAGAAACCTTCTTTGGATACTCATATTTTAAGTAACAACTGTTCAGTCATAAATAGCCTTTTTGAGTAAATTGCTTGAGAGATTGGAATTTTTGCAGGTGCAGAAATTTTTGGAGGACACCAATTGTCTTGGCCTTTTTTAGTTCAGTTCTTCGGTTTTGAGATAGATAGGTAGATAATCCTTTACAAAATAAAGACAAAAGGAAAGTTCATTGATCCTGCTTGATCTCTTAGAGGCTTTTGATTTCTACCACATATTGAACTTGATATTCTTGTAGACCATCTCTGTGTATTATTTCAAAGTGGTTATACTGCAACTTTCAGGAAGATTTCATAGGGTATTGGATTATGGTACCACTAAAAAGTCTGAGTGATAGTTATACCATGGGTGCCAGAAGGCATTAGTTTATTACTTTGTGGGAATTGACCATATTGACTTGTTGAACAAATCACAGTTGCATAAAATCTTGACATAGTCCTATGAATGAATGCACTCAGAGAATCTGGATGAAAATTCATGATAGTAAAACAGCGTGGACATAATATTTTATGTAATTTTGGCAATATATTATCCATACTAAAAGATTCTTCAGTGCTGCTGAAAGGGCTATCCTATTTCTTATTCATTAAAATTAATTGTATGCAATTCTACATATCTCACTTTTAAAAATTACATTATCTCTTTCCACTCTGCAGTCTCTTTCCCTTCGAGAGCAGCTTGCCCGACGCCGATCTGGCCTAGATGATTCCAGCAAAGAAGGAGATGCTCAATTATGTGTAAGTGGCCCTGGAAAGCAAATCTGAAGGGAAGCAGAAAAGGGTGGTAGAAAGGATGGTGAAATGGTATAGTGCTTCCTGCTGAAATAATATGGGGCTTCCTGCCTGAGCAGAGAGTTGGACTAGAAGATCTCTAAGGTCCCTTCCAATTCTGTTATTCTGTTAAAGTATAGAGAGGTACTTTAAAATGTTGGTTAGATCAAGCAGCCATGTTCATTATGATCTTCTATGGAGACATTTGAAATTTTTATTGGGTTATGAAAGCTTCTTATATAGCAATTATGAGGTATTTTGTTTTTTCAAATGTTCCTAATTCCCTCAGACATTTTTCTATTTAAGTTTCTTCTTGTTCTTTATGCTGCCTAGCTTCCTCCTAACATCATGTTTCACTAATAGTGAATCATTAGGGTTCCAGGAATTGCAAAAAGTCCTTGGGGATTACCCTTAGCTTTAAGGCATCTTGTTTTTTAGTGTATTTCATCAAAAGAAGATTATAAGATGTGAGTTTAGCATGTCAGACTGTGTGTAGATAATGTGGCAGTGTTGCTTCTGCTGACACCAATCTAGTCCTATAAATGAGATTTTTTTTAATTCCCCCTATTCCCCCTCCCCCAGAAATGTCACTGATTTAAGCTAGGGTTTTTTGTTTTTTGGTTTTTTTTGTTTTTGTTTTGCATACAGAACATGATCGTTATAACTAATGTATAGGCCTCACTTATGCAGTGAACATGAATAGTGGTGGGAAGATGAAGACCTAGTGTTCATATCAAGCAGGATTAACTTACATGAATCTCTTTTTACTTTCTTCATTCTTTAGGCCAATGGATCTGGGACTCTTGATTTGGGGCGTGGAAGTCGGGAATCTGAGCTGGAAGAGGTTTTGGAGCGCCAGAGAGGAGAACTATCCCAGTTGAAAGAAAGACTTACCATGCTTTGTCGGCAGATGGCAGAGCTGGAGGAAGAGTTAGCCACAGCCCAACGAGATCTTATTAAATCTGAAGAGATTAATGCCAAGCTACAAAGAGATCTCAAGGAGGTAAAAGACAAGGAATGGTATTTCATCTTATTTTATGGCAGGTTACCTCTTATCTAGATAAAGTAAGTCTTTAATTTGACCTCTTCTGGGTATACTGAAAGTGCCTCTTCCCTGTTAACATGACCAAAGACCTTTAGGAATTGCAATCTAAACCTATCAAGAGGGCACTAGGATAGACAGGTCTGCAATAAATCAATATTCAAATGTCTCAGCTTATGAAATTCAGAAGGTGGGAATCATTTGGAGAGAGTTTTTCAGAAAAACATCTTATTCAATCAGTGGATTCCCATAGCAGTAATGGCTTGTGAAAATGGAGGAGGCCAATATAGTAATCTGGAGTTTTTCAGAAGGGATTGGTGTTGTAATGGCCAATAATGTAAAGCTATTTATGAAGCTAAATGGCATCCTTACATAAAATACTAGACAACCCATGAATGAAGCCAAATATATGTGTTCCAGGATAATGTTGCAGGATCCAATCTGGATTGGTCACCAGGACCAGAGGTTTTGTCTTCCGAGGTTTTGGACATGTACTGGACAGAAGTTCCCTGAAAATGAACTCCAATTCAAGTCAACCCATGACCCATTGGGCCATCATTTCTGAGCTTCTTCAGTGCCTTCAACAATAGCAGAGCTCTAATGCACTGGAAAAATTCTTTAAAATTCAGAGATATAGTCACCTTGAAATAGCCCACATTGAACTGTATAGCACAGTCAAACATTAGCCGTAGATTACATGAAATGTTTTATGACATTTTGGATTATGTCACAAAATACTTTATGATAATTGTTATGTCATAAAACATTTTATAAAATTTGCCAAATTTTAATAGCATGAAGCCATAGGTTCTGGATCTTCGATGCATTTCATGTTAGTCCATTTTAAGTACTTTGATTGAAAAAGGTTTGCCCCGTGATGGACCTTTTCATCTAGTTCAGAGGTCCCCAACCTTTTGGGCACCAGAAACCGGTTCCATGGAGAGACGTTTTTCTGCAGATCGGAGTGTGCGTAGTTTTGTGTGCTGCCTGAATCCCACGGATGGGGCTTTGCTTGTTTGTGTGGACCGATTGCTGGCATGCTGCGGCCCAGTTCTGGTCCACGGACTGCAGGTTGTGGACCCCTGATCTAGTTAATAGTTACAGACACAAGAGGTTTAGTAGTATATAGATGGAATCTTGTAGAGTTTTAGAAAAAGCAGAGAAAACATAGTAAAAATGATCATGAGATGGACAGATTTAACTAATGATTGCATGAGTCACTTAAGAACTGCAGTGATTTACTTAACAACTCTGGCAAAAAGGTCATAAAATTGAGCACAATTCACTTAACCACAACCTTGCTTAGCAATGAAAATTCTTATCACAATTGTGGTCATAAATTGAGGACTACCTCCATACTAAATGGCTTCATGTCATGAAATGTACAGCTTTTGCATGTAATAGGCAAATTAACTGAAAAGAATTTGTAAGACCTCAAAAATGTTAATTTCACTCATAACTAGTAAGTGGAGAATCTGGGCAGAGGTTTTTTATGTTTTCAGAGAATTGGAGACAGTATCTATCTATCTCCTACCATTTATAATCCTTTCCTTCTCTTATGTGGTATGGGTAATAGGCATTAGCTCAGCGAGAAGACATGGAGGAACGAATTACCACATTAGAAAAACGCTACCTAAGTGCTCAGCGAGAGGCAACATCCCTTCATGATGTCAATGACAAACTGGAGAATGAGTTGGCCAGTAAGGAATCTCTCTACAGACAAGTGAGTTCCTACTTTTGCCTTTTCGTCACTCTATTTCTTACATTGGCTCCAGTGTTTTCCTGCCAATGTCTGGTTGACCTTAATGTTCACATTCTGCATAACCTGCAGATAATTTGGTAGTTTCCCATATTCCACACACATCCCACCCCCACTCCACTTTTACAAGCATACTGATAGTGGGTAATACTCAATTATTTATATGATGGCTCATCTTGTAGTGTTTTGTTTCTTGACAATCCCTTAAAAGTAGTTATATATCTGTATAGAGTGAAGAAAAAAACAGGCAGCTACAAGACTGGCTGGAAGATGCCAAGCAGAAACTTCAGCAGACTCTTCAGAAGGCTGAGACTTTACCTGAGATAGAGGCCCAGTTGGCTCAGCGAGTAGCTGCCCTTAACAAGGTACTGTGCAGAACAAGAAGGAAATGGAATGGAGGGAGGGAATGGGCAATGGAATACTGATTGCTGGTGTTGGAGGACAAGGAGAAATTGGAGAAACAGGGAGATTTTGAGTTCTAAGAGAAACAAAATATGACTTAATTCTCTTATTCACTTCTTTATCTAGGCAGAGGAGAGGCATGGCAATTTTGAAGAGCGTTTGCGTCAACTTGAAGCCCAATTGGAAGAGAAGAATCAGGAGCTCCAGAGGGTGAGGGCATGAGTGAAAAACTAGTGCAAAATTAGATGGGTACTGGAAGTGCCAGACCATTGCTAATAAGCTATAGTTCTATGCACATGCAAATGCCATGCATGAAAAATATTCCAATTTGATCTTATGTCTGCCAGAAAATGATGGAGATTACTACAAATCCTGGAGAATTGTTCTCAGTCAGTATTGACAGTAATATGCTAGATGGACCACTGGTCTTTCTTGCACAAGACAGCTTCTGATCTCCTATTTCATGTGCATGGAAAGTATTAAAAATACACTAACTGAAATGTATATGGAAAAGAGAAATCCTAGGTGTGATGAAACTGGAATCATTGATTACAGACAAGAAGGTAAGATAGTAGAATGGAGGAATGACCTACAGATAATCCTTTTACTTTTGTTCTCTCTCTTGGCAAAATAGGCACGCCAAAGGGAGAAAATGAATGATGAACATAACAAGCGCCTCTCAGAAACAGTAGATAAGCTGCTATCTGAATCCAATGAACGTCTCCAATTGCATTTGAAAGAAAGAATGGGGGCACTGGAGGAAAAGGTACATGTTTCTGTAGGCATGAATTAGGTTTGTGGTGTGGGAATCAGCTGTCATGTATCTGTAGATCAGCTGAGTGAGAATCCAACTGGAGGAACTGATAGAATTCAGGAATATCATACCTTGAAAAATAAAATAGTAAGCTTTATTTTTCTAAAATAAAATGTACTGGATGTTTTGGATCTTAGGTATTATGGGTAAAAGCATAGTAACTGCTGCAAAAAAACAAAACAAAATCTCATAGTGGCCATTGTGGATGGTTTTTGTTTTGTTTAATCATAAAGATGATAGCCATTATTCTAGTTGTTAAAGAAACTGACCATCCAAGTTCTTGAATAAAAGAAGCCCCAGAGGTCTGATGTTTTGAAAGCCAGCAACTGAGACTCCTTAGACTTCTGACTGTCAGTTGAGAATCTTAATCATAGGTGGGATTTGATTGGTGGGTGGGTGTTTGTGACAGAAGAAGAAGCAGATATGGTCATAAAGCAAATGCTCAAATAGAAAAAAAATCTGAAATTATCCTTCATTTCATAGTCTGCTCTAATACAAGTTGATTCTCTGTTGATGAATAAAGGAAAGATATAGCATCTGGAGAGAGGAAGGTATATTACATTCCATGTCAGAAATTTATTATGTGTTTACTCTGATTACATTTTTCTGCTTCTCTCATTTTATCCCCCTTAAGAATACTCTAAGTGAGGAAATTGCCAACATGAAGAAAGTACAGGATGAGCTACTAGCAAACAAGGTGAGGCAAATGGCAACTGAGAATTGAGCTTTATGTATACATGTGCTGGGAATCTCTTAAGTCCAGAACTGGAGAGAAACATGTTGAATTTGAGAAAGTATGGGGTTGGGTTAAGGATAAGAATGAGGAAAGTTTATGAAATCATTTAAAGAGTATGATGGAAGGTCAGCTAGGTTGCTTTCAGAACTGATCCCCTCCTTTGATTATGTCCTGCAGGAGCAGCTATTGGCTGAGATTGAGAGGATGCAAATGGAAATAGACCAATTACGTGGACGCCCAGTTTCTACCTATTCTCGGTAGGGAGACTTCATGCTTTCAGAAACCAAGTAGTGCTCATTTTCAATATCCAAGTTCTCAAACCCTGTTAGGTAATTGCTGGGTTCCCACAACATGTTGAACCACTAATTCCCACTCTATTCTAAACTAATCTTCAGTGTTTGAAATCTAGGCAATTATTTTATTATTATTTTTAGTTAAAGGTAGGAAAGGTGTTCTATATGCAGAACATGCCTTTTGTAGGCATACTTTAAACTTCCTCTCACACCCATATTTTGATGATCTTTTATGCCATGATTCTTTCTTGATGGGACCATGCATAGAAAAAGGACTGATGTTTTGGTTAAAAGGGGAGCTCTTAAACTTGAATGGAATAGATCTTTTCTTCTTTCTGTCCAATTATTCTTGCTTACAGTTCTTTTTCCCTGTTCCACGGAGGTCTCTGCCAGGTAGCGTGCTGGAATTGCGTTACTTCCAAGCACCCATGCTGCCGGTAGGGGCCCACGTGGACCATTACAGCAGTGGTGGTGTGGCAAGACGTTCAAAGAAGGGTCACTGGACTGTCAAGGATGAGGCTACCAAGGTATGGATTGATTGATAAGTTTATGAAAAAAAAAAAACCAAACCAAAATGAAGGGGGTCATTGGGGAGTTTTGAAATGGTATTAGTGAGATGTTAGATGCTTGGTCAAAACAGCTTTCCCTAACCTGAATTCCTCCAAATGTGAAGATATTATTTTATGTAAATTTCCAGCCACTGCGTTTGCCAGAAAATTTGAGACTACTTGTTCCAACTTATCTGGTTAACTTAATATGGTAGTCCTCAACTTATGACTACAACTGAGCCCAAAATTTTTGTTGCTAAGTAAGACAGTTAAGTGAATTTTGCCCCATTTTACTACTTTTTCTCCACAGTTTTCAAGTGAATCTCTCTCTGCATTTGTTAGGTTAGTAACGTGGTTGTTAAGTAAATCTAGCTTCCCCATTGATTTTGCTTGTCAGAAGGTCACAAAAGGTGATCACATGATCCAGGACACTGCAACCATCATAAATATGAGTCAGTTGCCAAGCATCTGAATTTTGATCACATGACCATGAGAAAAATGGTCATTAGTCACTTTTTTCAGTGCTATTGCAACTTCGAATGGTTACTAAATGAACTGTTATAAGTCGAAGAGTACCTATATTTAGAGATTTGCTAATACATAATAGTATGTATTATTTTGTTACTTTACATTCCTGGATCCTTGTTATTAAAGTTTTCACTAAAGCTTATTTCTACTCTCAAATAAGCTTTATCCCATGATTTGTCTGAGTATGAATGTTAGCTATTCTGTACACTGAAGCAAGTAGAAATTAGGCTTATTACATCTCATATCAAAGCTTCTAATTAATGAAGTAATTGTCTTATGTAAGACTTGTAAGGCTACAATCTGTGGGTTAAAAAGGAAGAGGATGGAGGAGGAAAGTAGCTGAGGCCCTGCAGATTGGACCTCCATTGCATTTAAACTGCCCAGAGCTTGCTGGGAAGAGCTACAATCTGTGAGTTAAAAAGGAGGAGGGTGGAGGAAAATAGTGGCCCACGCACCTAACGGCGCGTGAATCATATAATTAAAAATCAAAAAGAGCAGCGGTACATTCAGGGCAAGTGCGTCTGAGATTCCTTGTATCTCAGAATGTCTGACTTAGTTCAGTGCAACACTTGCCTTGCAGCTGTCTTTCACAGTACTCTTTTCAAACTTGGAAACTGTCCTATCTGTAAACAAATCACTAGTCTACAGGGACAGATTGTTTATCTAGGGTCTGTAATCTGTGCTCTTCAGGCAGAAATTAAGTGTCCAGTTCAGCCCTTCTACTGTATTGAGCCTCCGCACTATCAGCCCCCTCTACCACAAAGATCCTGCAGGAGAAGGGCAGTGTGGACAACCGTGGGATCTGGCAGGGTGAGAGCTGTGAACCACAAACACAAAGCTTTTGCTGTGTCCCTGCACAACAGATACAGTGCCCTTGCTGACCTTAATAGGGACATTAAGGAGACAGGCAAAGGTATTTGTGATGATAACTCAAATAAGCAGGTGATCGTGGTCCAAGATGAAGAACTTGTTTTCGACAGGGAGAAGTGCGAATCAGGTATTATACATCAGTCATGCAAGAGGAGAAAGGCATTCAAAAAGAGAAGCCACCTTCTGGATGGTGATTCAGTTATAAGGGATGTAAATTTAGGAAAGGACACAGAGGTTTCAAATAGGTCAGGTGTCTTCTAGGTGCTACTGCGAGTAAGGACAAGAAGCGTATTTTTAAAATAGTCAAGAATGCCAGCAAGGACTGTGATGTGGAGGCTATTGTACATCTTGGCACTAACGATCTGTCCCAAAAAGGTGCACTCTCTGTGCAGAATGATTTCCAGAGCTTGGGGCAGGAACTTAGCAAAATAGGCTGTAGGCTAACTTTTTCAGAGGTTTTACCAGTGTATAAGGAGCAAAATGGAAAAGGCCAGCTTATAGCAGAATTCAATATGTGGCTAAAGGAGTGGTGTAAAGGGAAAGGCTTTGGTTATATTAGTCATGATGTCTGTAGCTGGTCCAATGAAAAAATGTACAAAAGAGATGGTTTGCATCCATCAAAGAAAGGGACTGAGTTACTCGGCAATAAATTCACAGATTTTCTGGAGGACTATTTAAACTAAACAACAGGGACAGTGAGTTAATTGATACAGAACATCCCTGTCCCCGGCAATCTAAAAATTATAGGGCTATCAGTGCATGTAACATAGATGTGTGTGTGGACAAGAATATCAACCTTGCTGTCAAGTAAAATCAAGCTTTTAATAGGGAGTGCCACACAAAGTGCACTAACCAAACAGGTGGTAAGAAAATAGGGGAACTCAGGCACCACACAGGTTATGTAGAAAGTAAACACAGGGTCAGTCATAAATGTCTATACACCAATGCACAGAGTATGAACAGTAAACAGAGTGAACTAGAAATTCAGGTTAATGAGGACAGATATGATATTGTTGCCATTACAGAAACATGGTGGAATGAAACCCACAAATGGAACACACAGCTAGAGGGATTTAAATTATTTAAAAGAAACAGACCAAATAAAAGAGGTGGAGTTGCTCTCTATATAAGAAATAACTACATCTCTACAGAATAGAGCACAACAATGATGAAAACTGTCTTGAATGTATTTGGGTCAATATAAAGGGGGGGGAATGACATTGCCATAGGTGTATACTATAGGACACCCAACCAAACAGAGGTAATAGATGAACTGTTTACTAGACAGCTAACTAAGGTATGCAGGAAGCACATCACAATAGTAATGGGGGACTTTAATTACCCTGACATCAACTGGGAGACAAACTCTGCACCAAGTGGAAGATCAAACAGATTCCTGACAAACCTAGCAGACACCTTTGTCTCCCAAAAAGTAGAGAAGAGAACTAGGGGATTAGCCATATTGGATCTAATTCTCACTAAGAGAGATGAAATGATAGAAGGTGTTGAAGCAACAGTGGAAAGAGGGGCACATAACTAAGGCAGAATATCAGCAAATAGCCCGAGCCTGCAAAGATGAAGTGAGGAAAGCTAAGGCTCAAAATGAACTAAGGCTTGCGATCAAAGTCAAAAATAACAAAAAAAAAGCTTCTTTCAACATGTAAAAAACAAGAAAAAAAGTGAAGGAAATGATTGGTCCATTAGTGGGGGAAAGTGGCAAGAAGGTGACAAGCAACAGGGAGATAGCAGAACTATTTATCTCATTTTTTTGCAGTGTCTTTACCCAAAGGGAAAAAACAGCCCAACCTATCAAAAATAATGCCATAAAAAACAGAATAGAAACACAAGTTAAGATAGGCATGGAAATAGTAAGTGAGCACCTGTCCAGCCTAGATGAATTCAAATCACTAGGACCAGATGGATTACACCCCAAGGTTCTCAAGGGACGGGCAGATGGGACCTCAGAACCACTGAACTATATTTTTCAAAGATTCTGGAGCACTGGGGAACTACCGGAGGACTGGAAAAGAGCTGATGTAGTTCCCATCTTCAAAAAAGGAAAAAATATGGATCCAGGAAATTATAAACCTATCAGCCTGACCTCAATACCTGGGAAGATTCTGGAAAAGATAAACAACGAATCAGCAAACACCGAGAGGCAAACAAAGTCATTACTAAAAACCAACATGGGTTTGTCAAAAACAGATCATGCCAGACAAACCTTACTGCGTTCTTTGACCACGTGACAAAATTAGTGGACCAGAGGAATGCTGTGGATATAATTTACTTGGACTTCAGTAAGGCATTTGATAAAGTAGACCACAACCTACTACTTGATAAGATAGAAAAATGTGGGTTAGACAGCATTACCACCAGGTGGATTCATAGCTGGCTGACTGGCCATACTCAGCGAGTGGTCCTCAATGGAACTGCATCTACATGGAGGGAAGTGTGTAGTGGGGTGCCCCAGGGCTCTGTTCTAGGAACAGTGCTCTTCAACACCTTCATCAATGATTTGGATAGAGGATAGATGGGGAACTCATCATATTTGCAGACGACACCAAGCTGGCAGGAATAGCCAACACTCCAGAAGACAGGCTTAGGATACAGGAGGATCTGGACAGACTTGAACACTGGGCGCTCTTTAACAAAATGAAATTCAGTGGTGAAAAAAGTAAGGTTCTACATTTAGGCAAGAAAAACCAAATGTACAGGTATAATATAAAGGGTACCTTGCTCAATATTAGTAACTGTGAGAGGGATTTCGGAGTCCTAGTGGACAATCACTTAAATATGAGCCAGCAGTGTGCTGCAGCTGCCAAAAAAGCCAACAAAGTGCTAGGCTGCATTAACAGAGGGATAGAATCAATATCACATGAAGTGTTAATACCATTTTACAATGCCTTGGTAAGGCCACACTTGAAATACTGCATCCAGTTTTGGTCACCACGATGTAAAAAAGATGTTGAGACTCTAGAAAGAAAACAGAGAAGAGCAACAAAGATGATTAGGGGACTGGAAGCTAAACCATATAAGGAACGGTTGCTGGAATTGGGTATGTCTAGTTTAATGAAGAGAAGGACGAGGGGGGACATGAGAGCAGTGTTCCAATATCTCAGGGGCTGCCACAAAGAAGAGGGAGTCAAGCTATTCTCCAAAGCACCTGAAGGCAGGACAAGAAGTACCAGATGGAAACTAATCAAGGAGAGAAGCAACCTAGAACTAAGGAGAAACTTCCTGACAGTTAGAACAATTAATCAATGGAACAACTACCTCCAGAAGCGGTGAATGCTCCAATACTGGAAGTTTTTAAGAAGAGACTAGACAACCATTTGTCTGAAATGCCATAGGGTTTCCTGCCTGAGCAGGGGGTTGGACTAGATGACTTCCAAGGTCCCTTCCAACTTTATTATTATTATTATTATTATTATTATTATTATTATTATTATTATTATTATTATTATTATTATTACTATGAATCATTGCACAGTCAGCCAGATGTTCAGACTGGATTTGGCATTTTGTCTACCTATCGAGTCCTTCCCAAGGACCTGGGATAGGCAGATGTGGATGTTTGATGT